TTGGATGACCAAGGTGGATATTTCCAATGCTTACCTACACATTCCTGTGGTGGAGCATTCCCATCCATATCTTTGTTTGTCCATTGGGGAGGTTGTGTACCAGTTTTGCACCTTACCTTTCCGCCTAGCTTCAGCACCATATGTTTTGTCATGTTGCGCACTCCTATGCTTGACATATTCATTCCATGGAGTTGTGCTTCCATGTTTATATGGACGACTGGCTTCTTCTTGCTCATTCCGAATGGGAATCGGCCTGTCACACTCATCAGCTCCTGGCTGAAGCTGTGAGGGTGGGCTGGTTGATCAAGTTAGAGAAGTCTTTCCTTTGTCCTACCCAATATTTCATCCATTTGGGTGTTTTCTTCACCACCCATCTAAGTTGGGCTCAACCCTCTCCTCTCCTGCTTCATTCTATGGAATGTGAGGTTCTATCACTTTTGGGGATGTGGTCCTCCATGACTCCTCTCATACCCCAGGGCCCATATACAGTTTCTTCAATGGGGCCTTCACGATCAGTGGAACCTCACCCAGGATCCCTTGGATACTTCTATATCCCTTCCCTCATCCCTTGTAGACAATCTCCATTGGTAGTTGAACAGGGCCCACACATCTGTGGGGATCCCACTTCCTCCTCTGCAGCCAGATTTACATCTCTTCATGGATGCATCCTTTCAGAGCTGGGGTGCCTGGGTGGATCACCAGGAGGTTTCGAGTTGTTGGTCTGTGGAGGAGAGTTCTCTTCACATCAGTGGTCTCGAACTCCTGGCTGTTCATCAGGCTTTGGATTACTTTTTTTCTCTTGCCACCCACCGGCTGGTTATGATCCATTCCAACAATTCTACCATGGTGGCTTATACCAATCAACAAGGTGGCACCAGATCCAGATCCCTATGTTTTTGCACTATGGATCTTCTTTATTGGGCTCACACACATCACATTCGTTTGATGGTGTGTCATGTACCAGGTGCTTTCAATCTCATAGCCAAAGTGTCTTTCCTGACTGGACTGTGTTTATCCCAAGGAGTAGTCCCTTCATCCTTCCATTTTTTGGTGGCTCTGTCTGCATCTGGGTATGCTCCATATCGATGCCTTTGTCACTACCCTCAATCACAAATTACTTCAGTTTTGGTCCCCAGTCCCCTATCCTCGAGCCTTGGCTATCGATGCCTTCACTCAGGATTGGTCTCATCTGTTTCTTTATGTTTACCCTCCCATCCAATTACTTTATTGGGTGGTCTCCCTCATTCATGCACAGTCCTTCTGATTGCTCCTTACTGTCCTGCTCAACATTGGTTTCCTTGGTTGCTCCAACTGCAGATGGTCCCTCCCTTCCCTCATCCTGACCTGCTCCATCAACTCCACTCACCAGCTCTCCATCCTGTGCTGGCTTTTGTCAGGTCCTTGGTGAGGAGTTCCAGTTTCTCTTGCAGAGTAGCTTCACATTTAGCATGTTCTATTCGTCCTTCTTTGGCTGTCTATCAATGCAAATGGAGCATTTATTGCTCCTTGTCATTGACTCGGGTTTTCCAGGCTTCACACCCAACAGTTACTTGTATCTCTGAGTTTTTAATGTGTCTCTTTGAAAGGGGTTCTTCAGTCTCCTCGATTTCAGGGTTTCGGGTGGTGTTATGCCATACATTACTTTTTTCCCACTTCTGCAGGAGCTTTGCTTCCCCTGTCCTTTCCCTGTTAATCCATTCTTTTTCCGGCTTTGTTGGTCACCAAGGTGTATGTTTCTTTCGGACTGAGACATTAATGTGGCCCTTCATGCCCTCACTTTATCTCTGTTCAAATCTCTGTCTGTGTTCCCTGTTTCACCTCTCTTTGAAGGTGCATTTCCTCCTCCTCCTGGACTGTGGGCTTCGTAAGTTAGATATTTTTGCCCTTGATGTTACCAGGACCTTTTACCACTCCTCTTACCTTATCCTTTATCTGGATTATCCTTTTCTTCTCAAGACCTCTGTGGCTGAGAAGATCAGTCCACCTTTTCCCCCTATCTGCTTATCCTCTATATCTAATTTCTATCCTCGTCCTGATCCGGATAGAAAAACGGAGGGCAGTGGCAGGTCAGAAAATTCTATTGCTTTTTTATCCCTTGTCAACTTTCCTTTTCCCATGGTCTTTCCCAGTTACCCTGACCAATTGGGTTTGACTTTTGATCCAGTTGACCTATTCCTTCTTGTCTTCTCCCTAGAGTGATCTCTTTCACATTTCCTCATGTCAAATCCATCATCTTACCTTCTCCCATGCCTCTTGTCTTCATCAGCCATTGGAAGAGATTCTGAGATTGGGCACTTGAATGACTACACACACGTTCATCTCCCACTACCTTCACCATATCTCTGTTTCAGCTTTCTCTGGTTATTGCCTGCTGCCTGTGGCTATTTTACAGACTTTGGCATGCTATGACATGAGGTAAGTCATCAGTAATCCTTTTTTTTCTTTCAGGGGCCCCTGCTTCAGCTTCAATTTGGAACCCGCTCTGTAGCGAGTGGTGCCTGACCAGGTATTCTGTCTGTACTTGGAATGTGTTCCACTTAGATGGCTATAACCATTTGCAGACATCTTGCTATCAAATCTGCACTGGACGCCATTTTGATTCTTATACATTTTCCAAGGCTATGCACACTCACTCTTGAGATGGGGTGTTTCACAAAATCACTAGAGTGTAAATTCCTCATGATAATTACATCATAATATGCCCATCCCAGATATTACCACCCATGGATGGCATGGGTAAAGCAGAAGTGGATTGCTGCCTATCCCTGCTATGCCTAGATTCAATACATCAGCGTGATCTGCTTTCCAAAATAGGGTTTTGTGATCACTTATTGCACTGTCTCTGGTGTTGCAGTCCCTTCAGATTCTCCACCTCACTTTTCCCCCTTTCTTTTAGTGCAGTATGGGAGTCCTTACCACCTACCAGTTCCAAGCCACATGGAGGCAACCTGCTGGATGGGTTCCACAAAGATGGCTGTAACCATTCGGTTCAGAGTAAGGCAGTAGTGTTCTGCCCTCCTGTTGTGTGCACTCCTCCTACCCTTGCATGAATGTTGGTACCCAGTGAATGAGGTTTGGAGATCGACTGAACCAATCACACAAGTCCTTACACAGGCTTCGGGTTTTCCATCTTCCCCTCTTGACTTGTCTTCTGTGTTGTGGGCCGTAGAAGGTGTATGTAGCCTGTTTCCACTTCTGTCTTGGGTTTTCCATCATTGGAAGACAAGGTTGTTCCCAACATGTGGTCATTATGGGCTGGTTTTAAGGTCACGGGGATGAGTGTATGTGATGGACTTCCCTCGGATTCCAGATGATACATTCCCAGATCCCTGGCATTAGGCTACCCTGTGAGATCCTGGAGTAGAATGTTAGGTTCCCTCTTGACTCTGGGAATTGAGGTGAAGACAGTGTGATCCTCATCCTACCCTCGTGAGGATGTCGGTACCCAGCGAGTGAGGTTATGGATGTAGTTGACCTACTGAGTACAGTTCATTGCACCCTAGCCACTCTACACCATGGGTGGGACACATTCTTACTTGACCACTTTCCATCATGGGATTGAGTGATTCTGATTTCGGTTTAAGATCACATTGCTAAACTATCCTCTCCCATGCGGATGTGCTCCCTTTAATGTTCCAACATGTATGGTCCTCTTGATCACGTCGATGTTCATGGTGAAGAGATACCTGGCTCAGATGTGGTGCAGTACTGCTCCTCAGATCATCTGATCTGTTCCTCTTATTTTGGGGGTGTCCTCCGGATGCTCCCGGGGGGATACACCTGTGCTTCTCTCGCATGTGGGATTCAAGATAATCTTGTGAGTGGAGGGAGAGTACCTTATCAGAAGTTATAATCTTCCTAAATGAAAATGTATTTCCAATAGGTACTTCCCTCCACTCACACTTCTCACCCATCCTCCCCACAATTTTCCGGAACTCGCATCTTCTGCCAAACTTCAAAGTAATAGTTCAGTAGTGGTGCGTAGAGGAATAACATGCATCACGTGATAGTGGTGTTCTCCTATTGGTGGAGATGTGATGCATGATGATTTGCATGAGAGACATGTTGGAACTTTGAATTCCAACAGAGGGTGGATAAAGGCTTGTGGCATGTGTTTCTGAAAAATGTAGAGAGCAGCACAAAACGATAAAAGCTAATCTTGTGAGAAGAGGGAAGTACCTATCAGAAATAAATTTTCATTTAGAAAAATTATAACTTCAGAAACATATGCAACCAAAACAAACTTAAAGAAGAGGAGATCTTCTTATCCAATAACTACCTTGTAAATTTCAAGAACTGCAAAGACACACAGTTTCAACCACTGAAACTGAACAATAAATCTAGAATTAATCAAAATTCCACTTCCTTTCCTCTCACACTTGAGCTTTAACTTAGAAGAATTTGCAAAAAATTCATTGTATAAGTTTGTGTAAAATCCTTAAACAAGTCCAATATGCATGCTAATTAAAGTGAAATAGTCTAGCTATGAAGAAAGCAAAATAGAAGTCAGTTATAAAGTTTTTATTTTAATTTATGCATTGGAGAAACCAGTGAAACCATAGTAAAAATAACTATTCATACTTAATAAACAATTTCAAATGAAGAAAACTATTAGATAGAAATATTACAAGCTGGGATTGACTATAATTTTAACTTCCTCAAATGAAATGCTTGCAATGATGATATCCTATATTACAGCTTAATGATAGCCATACTTTTTAAGCTAAAGAACTATACAGATGGCAACACTCACCTGGAATGAATGATAAAAACAAACTCTGCAATAAGTTCTTGATACCAGTATAACCAGCCATGATAGCACAAGCACTGAGAAAGGCCTGAACATAGAGTTTGAAGCCACGTTTTTCTGAAGATCAATAGCCAGAGTATTCTAAAAGAAATTCCAGAACCAAAATACATTTGTTTATATATGATTTTTGATGTGAGAGGATAATATTTTTATAGGGTTTTTGTAACTTTTTGTTGTTTCTTTATTTCAGTCATAAAACGAGTAAGATGACTTCTCCCAGCAAGTTTCCAGATTCCCCAACTAAAAGTATGTCATTAACTTCTCTTTCAACAAGAAAACCAGTTTCCAACATACCAAAGAAACTTACAGATCCTAATAGTGAAGTATCTACCAGTTCTAAACCAAAATTCTCCTTTTCTTGTAATGCAACAGCTACTTACCAACAAGACCATGAAGACAAAGATGGAATAACTGTAGGGAAAGAGATAAAAACATCTCCTGATAGAAGTCCTGTTGAGGTTTCCAAGAACACAGGTTTAAGCTTTGGTTTTTTAACAATTGATGACAAGTTGCTAGCTTCCAAACAAGAAATAGTTGAGATTCAGAACACAGAAGTTAGTGGTCTTTTGTGTGAGTCATCCAACAATGATTCAGTAAATATTTTCACCACCACCACACAACATGGTTTTACTCAAAATTTTAAATGTCAAGATTCAACCTCTGCTGTAGAAAAAAAAGAAATTTATGATCATAGTGTTAATGAGATGAATATTCAAAGAGTAAGCACTGCTTCTGTAATGCCTAGTAATAATAATAGTTTGAATAGCCAAAACATCAAACTTCAAAGGCAAGTCAGTAACTTAAGTTCATCACTTATTCAGCCAAAGCTGAGTAATGTTCCTTTTAAATTAAACAACACTAAACTTGATCATCATGTCACTACTGTAGCTGAATCTTCTGTTTTTTCTGGAGCAGAACGATTACTAGAAAAATCTGGTGAAAAACCTCCTGACCTTTTCTCTGTCTCCCCAACATTTGTCAAAGACACTTCTTCGAATTTCTCCCAAGTCCCATCTCTAAGTGAGATATCTGTTCCTGCTGGCAATGAGGAGGAAAGAAGTAATTCATCCAATATTTCAAACAATAATAGCCAATCTGATGACAGTGCTTTTTGTGATGATAATGATAATATTTTATTCCAATGCATTCAGTCTGAAGTATCTAAAGAACAGTCGTCTCTTTCTTCAGAAGCTGTTAATGGTGCATGTGGTAAAAGTTGTTCCACACATACAGAGTTGAAACTGTCTAGTATTTTGGACAAAAACTTAAGATCAACTCATGCCACATTTACAAAAACTGGAGTTTCAAGCTTGGAAACAATTATACCAAAAGATTCACAGTACATGTCTCCTAAATCAGTAACACCTAAACCTGATCACTTTTGTGTTAACAACATACCTGATATCAGTAGAGTTAATGAAAAATACCTAGATCCCCATACACATGAAAGTGATCCTCTAAAATTAAGTGACTCTTCAGAAGCTTATCTTGAACTTTGCTTGAAGTCACCTCAAGCTTATGCAGCAGACAGAACACCTGAAACTCTCCATAGAAATTCTCTCATTTCCCTTAGTGCAGAAGATTATAAAGATGACAAAGTGACCAGTGCTTGCATTTTTTCTCATGACATAGATAGCATGATTGGTGAGTGTTTATTTAGACTAAATCTTCGTTATTATTGTTTTATAGTATCTTTTTATTTTGTTTAGTAATACCATGATTTATTTCAGACTCAGAAATCATTAGACTATAGTTTTATAACATTAATTAACTTGATTTTATAAAGGTGTGAAAAATGTTCATCTTGTAAGAATATATGTGAATCTTTGATACTGTTGATAGAAAACTAAATTGCCAAAGGTATACAGAATTAACTTCTAGATATGCTCCTAACTGCTAGGTGAATACTAACAAGTTTGGGAGCTTCAAACATCATATGTTATGCTTACTTATGAAATTATAACTGAGCTTATTATGAAATTATGACTGAGCAATTATAACTTATGAAAAAAAATTAGTTAACAAGAACTGTGATAAATAGGTCAGTGGTTAGAAATGTACTTATCAGTAGAATAATTGTATAACAATTACACAAGATATCTGTGTGTTTGTAAACATTGCAGTAAATTTGTTACTCTTGCAGCTTCTTTATGAATTGTATATTATAATTTTCTTGTAAGAAAACTAACACCATCCTATTTACTTATTGATTAAATTCAGATTGTTTAGGAATAATATTGTAACTTCAAAGAGTAATTGCTTATGCTACATAGCAATTAAAGTAAGCATTTGTAATTACTTATGAATGTCATATTTTTGTTCTTTTTCAGGCACAACAAAACAAATGGAAAGTATGACACAGCTAGCAAACAAACAAGAAATTCCAGATGATCTGACACAAAATTCTGTAATACCAAATAATGTTGTAGAACCACAATCTTTGCCAACCCCTAAGGAGAAAAAACGAACAAGAGCAGGAATCAAACAAAATGGCTATCTGTTATCAAAGGAAGATTATGGTACTCAAAGAGTACATCTAGAAACTGCAACAAGATATGGTGTTGAAGGAACTCCTGTTTGTTCCTCAGGGAGTTCTTTAAGTGTTGATTCTTCAGAACAAGCTTTACGCTCTGGGCAAGGATTACTGCATGCAAGTGAAAATTATAGAAAATTGTCAAAGGAATACAAAGATGAAAAGACTGAGCTGAATGTCAAAGAAATGCAGTATAGTATGGATTTGATGGAAATTCCAATAGTGGATGAAAAAGGAAAAGAAGATGAATATGCTCAAGAAAAGCAAATTATTTCAAAACAGGTTTGTAAGATGGTTGATAATCCAGAATACACAGAAACATTAAAAATAGAAGATTTAACCGATATTCAGTGTGAGGCTCAGAAGGTTATAGAAAAAGTAGAATCTGAATTACAAAGTGACTTGACCGAAAGTAGCATTAGTTGCCTGTCAGACCTGGAGAATGCAAAACCTCCATCTATGTTTGTTGATATAGGATTCTTAAGCATGACCAGTAGTGAATACTCTGATGCTGCTTTTAAGTGCTCAAGAAATGCAGACACAGCTAAAACAAAATATAGAAGTAAAAAAGGATCAAAAAGACCTGAGCAGTCATTCTTTGGAAGTTCAGACATCAGTAATGATGAAACTTCTGGTGAGATGTTGACAGATTCTTTCAGTATGAAAGGAAGTACGGTTTCTGAGGTCTTAGAAAATGTTAATCCTCCATCCTTCATGAATGACTTATCACTTACAGTAAGTTGTTCAAGTATCAATAGCATTAGTTCTGATGTGTTGGAAAATCCAGTTCAGTCAAAAACTGAAATGGACTGCACAAAGGAAAGTGACATATTCAACCGTTTGAGTGCTGCAGCAACTGTTGTTCAAGTTTATTCTCAAGAGCTGAGCAGTATCACGAGAGGAAGCATGAACAACAGTTACAATTCTGGGTTAATAGACCATGTAAAACCTCCTACAGTGTATCAGGATATAACAGAAGTGACAGCAGAGGATAACACTGAACTGGATTTAGATACCTTTGCTTCTGACACTGAGTTTGACGATGATGATCTAAGAGATGATAATGACACACCTGTTCCTTCTACTGAAACACTGAAAGCTCCACAATTGTATTCTTTACAAAATGATGAACAGGGAAGTGTAGAAAATTTGACTTATGTTCTTGATGAATGTGAATCTATGTCTGTAGATGAGGGAACACTTGTTAATGAAGAAAGTGATGGAAACTTGAACTCTGATATCTCCATGTCGAAGGTAGAGGCTGAGGCTTTAAAAGTCAATGCAAATTTGGTTGTTTTTACTTTAAATGAAATGAAAAATGATGAAGTAACTTGTGATGAAAGTGAATTTCAAGATAATTTGCTAGAAGATGAAACTTTATCATTGGTTTCCAATGATTCTGAAGATGAACAAATGAGAGAATTGGAGGTCAGTAAAGAAGAACCTATAAAACAGGAAAGTCTTAAGAGGCCATGTGTTATTAGACCACCAAACAAAGAGACTACCAGACAGATAAGAGAAAAGAAAGAAAGAAAATTAGAACAAACTACACCAAAAATCACCAAATCCCTGCTTCCAGCTATGTCACAGAGAACAGCTTATGGTAGCAATGATAAAAAAAATGCTAATCATTCTCAAATAGGAAGGCCTACAAGGATTTCTATGTCTTCTGAGGAACCAACCAGATCATCAGCACTGAAATCTCCTCAGAAAACTGCTTGTCAGGAAAGTACTTGCCCACCAGCAAAAATAAATTTCAAACAGACTATACCTCAACCTGAACAGTTGAGCTGTTATTTTTCTAAAAGTTCTGATGATGGGGAAGGTAATATCAGAAAAGATAAGAAAAACACCTCCAATAGATTTCAGGAAAGGCTTTCTTGTAAAAATGGAGCAAAAACTAAAGATAAAGATGCTAAGATACTACCACACAAACCATTAGTTAAACAAGGCACTTTCACAAAAGAAGAATTAATTGGTGATTCCTCTCTGCTATCACCCACAAAAGAGCAACAGTCCCCATCGAAGTCGGTAGTATCAAAACATACAATAAGAAGCCAGTGGAAAAGTAAGAACATTCAAAGCAATAACAAAACTAAAGATTTAGGAGTTAGATCATTGAGATATGCTTCATCTAGTCTTAATCCAAACCAAGAAGCTAAGCCAAATAGCTCTAGAAAAAAGGGTTCAATCAAACATAATGACAATAAGCAAAGTGTAAATAAACCTGCTGGTTCAAATAACTTTAGTAGAAGTTCTAGTGCTGATAGTAATAGGTACAGTCGGAGTAGTAATGGCAGTCATTCATCTTCTTCTTCCACTGGAACTCTTTCATTCCATTCAGGCATTCCTCATAAAAGACAAGAAAGAACAAGTAAAGTTGCATCCTTATGGAAAAAAAATGAAACCAGTGTAAAGCAAGCAGAAAGGAAAACTTCTTTTGAATCAAGTAACAATAGCTGGGCTTCCTCAAGACAAATATACAAGAAGAGCCCCTCACATTCTAATAGGTATGTATTCCCTAAGAGTGCAGGTAGTTCTTGAATTTCACATATGATATTTCTTATTATAGTTAAATTTTATGGAGGTTTTCAACTTAGTTTTTCTGAATCTCTGCTAACAACTAATCAATATATTTTAATAAAGATGTACACCTGTTTGTGGTATAAGAACTAGTAGTGCAAGTTTTATCTCTTTCATCAACCATTTTGTTCACAATAATTCCCATTGCAAGAAAAATGTTTAACTTAGGTTTCTTTATAATTTATCGGAATTGTATTTTTTTACTTTATTTTTGATTTCACAATGTTAATTTTTGACATTTTTGAAATTATATGCTTCCCTTAAATTTGTACATAATCTTTTCCCCTCTCAGAGCACAGTCATCTATTTCCATGATTCCCAAAGCTCCTGGTTTTAACAAAAGTTCTACTTACAAGAAATATCCCTCCAAAGACCAACCAGATTTCCATAACTCTCAGCGACGAAGTTTTGGTTTAAGAAAAAATCATAATGTAGAACTAAATGCACCAAAAAGTACTGATAGGTCTAAGACAAAAGAACTAAATTTGCAGGCTTCAGATGTTAACTTTAGTTCTCATACTGGCAGAGGAAGAACTGTTGATGGGGACACTAGAGCTAGTAGTTTTTCAAGAAGGACATTAGATTCAAATAGCAGACAGCAGGTAAGTAAAATATCTCATTGTAAAGGAGGAGAAGAACATGGTGAAAGGGGTCAGGAAAAGTCTTTAAGAGATCATATCTATAATCCACATGCTTTTCCACACCATGCACAGAATCGAGGAATCTCTCATCTTCCCACTCATGTAGGAAGTAAAATATCCAGTGTTCATCACCAACCATTAGGTTTTCCAACACACAGCAAGACAGTGGCTGCTCGAGCCTCAGCAGTAGTTGCACCCTTTAACTATGTTCCATCTCTGGCTTGTATAACTCAACAGAAATCTGAAAATGAAAAGACTCGGCAAGATAACATCAATGCAAAGCATGTGTCATCTCAAAAAGATCTGGTTTTCAGTACTGAAGAAGAGAGGAATTTGAAAGATAAGTGTCATCTTGTTACTGCAGTATAAAGCCCATTCTTCACATAAGTTTAAGTAATGAGATGTTAGTTTGTTTCTTTTTACATAGAAGTAGATGTAAATTAATAGTAAACTCCTCCATCAGGCTAAATGTTGAAAATTCTCAAGCTTCTAGTAAAAAATGAAAACTGCTAAATTTAGCTTTTGTTTTTAATCTGGAAGATTGATTGCCATGTTCAAAATAGCTTATAAGCTGTCTCTATGTTTATGTGGTATTAAGTTGGTGCAACAATGCTGATTTCATGCTCAACTATTAGAACTTGAACATGTTGTGTGCAGAACAAACATTTATGAAAGCATAATTAAATAAATAGTTGAAGCAACAGTACTGTAATTGTAATATATTCAGTAGTTTATTGCTGTAAAAATCTGAAAAAAAAAGCTGTTAGGGAAGTTGCTCATTCAAATGCTTTATAACTAGTTCTATACAGGACTATGAAAAATTTTGTATATACTGACTATAATATTCTTTGTAAACATACAGCAGTTGAACCATATAAAACAGAACTAATAGTACATGATTCTTCTACTAAACAATTTAATGTCAGTAAAAGGTAAAAAAACAAATTCAGTTCTTTAACAGCAATACATGGCACTTATTATATATATAAGTGTATTATGACCTGACTTTTTATAAACATTTTCTCCTCAGTGATGGTTTTTTGAGGAAATTGAATAGTGCACAAAATGCTTTTAATACTCATTTTGCAAAAAATTCTGCCAACATTAAAATATAATACAGAAATTATTTATTTGAATACTGATGTATTAGTAAATAGTAATTACAGGTTGTCCTAAAAGTCTGGAACCATAAGTACTTCAATGAATATTACAGAAAAACATGCTGTCTTTGTAATTTGAAACAAGTTTGAAAATGATAGTTCCATTTTCTTTGAACACTGCAAAGCATATTCGTGTCATTGTCGATGATCCAACACTCATTGCAAATTTGTTGTTTCAGATGCTTGGTATCCAAAATCTTCTCTTTATACACACATGTCTGAACAGTTTCCAGAAAAAAGAAATCCCTGGGAATTAAGTCCAGAGATCTTGGGGCCCATTCCTTGGGACAATGCCTGGGAAGTTGTCATAATCAGTCACATATCTGAAATTAAGAAAAGCTGCAAATCACCCATGGTTCCAGACTTTTTGGACATCCCTTATAATGACAAAAATTGTTTCCAAACTTTGCAGTTCTCTCTCATTTTTCTAAAACAGTAGTTCCTATTAATTCTTGCTCTCCAAAGACTTGATTCATTAAGTTTTACTGGTGTCTGAAGTACAACAGAAAGTCATCAGTTTGCTTGTTTACAACAGAAAGTCATCAGTTTGCTTGTTTACAACAGAAAGTCATCAGTTTGCTTGTTTGCAACAGAAAGTCATCAGTTTGCTTGTTTACAACAGAAAGTCATCAGTTTGCTTTTTTGCAAAAGAAAGTCATCAGTTTGCTTGTTTGTTGGAGATTAGCTTTCTTTTTTTAGTCTAATGAAGCCAAATAGTTGCAAGATATTAAAAAAAGTTTTGTGATTGTTATATACGTTTGAGTAATCAGTCTCATTGTATTAATACATAGTCTAAAATTGGAACCACTGGATCAGTTACTTAAAGTAAAGCTATTTCTTGTTACAAGTCATTCAGTTTTGTAAACCTGGACAGTTACTAGTCTTTTCATATCATACTTATACAAACTGACATTATTAGTCAGTGGTTTTTTACTTTTTCTGTTAATTTTTCTTTATTTTTAGCAAATTGTATATGTTGGTTAGTGTGAATGAATATTCTCATGTTAAGCACTTCGATCAAGGTTGAAGAAACCATTCAAATAATGGAAGATTATGAATTCAGGTGCACGTATTTTACTTTTTTGAGTTAGATAGTAAGACTAAGGAATTTAGCTTTGCACTGACTTTTTTTTCAGTTATGATATGTTTAAATCTTGTCAAGTTTATGAGCTGAAATTGAATTTAAAGTAAATTATATAACTGTTAAGATCTCATTATTAGATAATAAAAATGAGGTTTTGTTTTTTCTACAGTGTTTTGTGTTTGTTATACAAACTATAATTTATTTTTCATTTGGAAGCTTATGTAGTCATTATTGATTTTGTTTTTCTCCAACATAATTTTTTGTTACTTATTATGTTATTACTCACTTGAGTCAGAGTTGCTAAAATCCTTTTTTAAAAATGGAAGCAAATTATGTTGAAAATGTAAATTTTGATCAAACGAGTTTTTCATTTATAGTGAATTTTAAGAACACTAAGTATTATTTTTGTTCCATGTTAAAAACAAGATAAAAAGTATTGTTTTGTATTCAGAGGTAATGAAACCTAAAAGTACTCAGTGAATTTTCATAAACTTTGCAGTCATACTGACCAGCTTTTATTGGGGGATACCAATATTTTCAGTTTTCTTGGGAACATGCATATCCTTACAAAAGAGTTGGCTACTCAATCAGTCGTGGGAACCTATATATATATATATAGTGATGCATTATTGAATAAACTATAGATTTTGCTTATTGATGTTATTTGTGTCTGTGAAAGTCATAAAAGAAACAAGTGTATATATTTATTCTTTGGAAGTAAAAACCACTCTACTTTACTTCCTAATGTACTACAGGAAACTATAGCTAAATGATATTTAATGTGAATTTACAGCACAACAACTAGTAAAAAAATATACTTTTAAAGAACTTGTCACTTGCATATGAAGAAATAAGTTTTTGCAATCAAGGTTGTTATTTATTTTTTGTGAACATGTTTTATAGTATTTATATGCTGCTTAAGGTATGTTTGTACATTTTACAGTAATTATAAAATATTTCCTGTAAGGCTTTAAACAACAATGGAATGGATATTTCATGTAGTAAATCTTGACAAGTTTATCTCATAGTTGATTCTCTTGTGTAGTTTGTGATATGATCAGGACAGTTTTTATAAACAAACTTGTTCTAGAAAATCTGTTTTAAAACTGATAGACTTGGAGCTTAGTGAAGGTTATCACTAAAACTTTATTATTATTTTTATCTCAACTGGAAAGTAGCTAAAACTACATTATCTTTGAAGATCTAAAACTAGAAATTAAGAAAAGTAAATTGCATTCCTTAATGAGTGTTGCTAAAAATTATAAAAATAAATTTAAAAGTATGGAAACAAAGTATGATAAAAATGTCAAAATTTAACAGATGAGCAGTTTTCATTGAAAGTGAATTTTAATTCACAATTAGCTATTTGTTTTTTGTTATTTTTTAACCCTATAAGGATATTTGAAACATTCCCATTCTTTGTTTTAAGCGGTTTTAATATTTAAACTTGATATGTCTATGATATATCTTGGAATCCTAATTTTGGAATTTCAGTGGCCATAAGCAGTTATTGGGTAATGTGCAGTATTACAGCATGACCATCTTTTTCTCCACTTTGTTTTTCAGTAGCAAATCTGTTTACACTTAGTTGTGTTATAGAAAAATTTTATCTACAAAAAATATCCCCTGGACCCTTGTCCATGATTTTGAAGTTTCTGGTGGGCCTGGTACTGCACTTTTTCCTGAGACCTTTAGGGTATATTTCTTACATTTAGCTTTTGTCCTCACCTAATGAAGGTTTAGATCTCAACCTATAACCTTCTCCTTGATGGTAATTTCAGAACCCCAAAGTGATACACCAAGTACCACCAGAGTTAATAGCTTTACAATGGAAATAAAGACATTATTTTAATAGTTATTTATCCTTATTCTTTACAGTACAGTAAGTACATGTTTGTATTGGTTACAAATGATTTAATTTTCATGAATGATTTATAAATTTTTTCTTATGCTTCATTTTAAATATGACTTTGAAACCTTCATAAATATCCAATCATGTTTTATCAACATTACAGTGTGAAAATATAATTGGTTAGCAACTTGACCATTATGTTAGAGTGTCATTTAAAAAGACTAGCATAAGCTACCTACACTCAACTGCAAAGTTCCAAGGCCCTCCAATGATTCACAGTGGCCTAGCATACTGATCAAGCTTCTCCATTATCCCCAATTACTTTTATTTACCCAAAAATAAACCTTGTTGGGACACACATCACTGATACCTGAGCACATGTGCTATGTTAACCTCATTAACTTGTAAGTAATGGGATATGAACTTACTTTCAATCATGATGCCCCAGGATCTCAAGTAGGGGATAAGGAACACAAAATCTGATGCCAGATTTGGGTTCAGCAACTCTAAAATCCCACTCCTAGATCTAGTGTGACCTTCTGGATCTTTGTCCCCCTACATAGGAGGTACACCATACATATAAGTATACAGCTGCTCCACCTTGAGTCCACCTTCCAAGTTTGATACTGCTAGCTCCAAAACTATAGAAGGAGTTCCTGGACAAACAAACACATAATATGAATTAATATAGGATTTACTCCTTAAATCTTGAAATCTCTATCAACTAGGAATGAATTAAATTTTCATTTTTTCTCTTCTGTATTGAGTGGATCAAAAGTTAATGTCATTTATTGTAGTATTCCCAAATTGAATCAACTGTGCACTGTACAAGTTCTGATCTAATTTAAAACAAATCATTTGATTTCATTATTGTAGATGATTGATAAATGACCCTGAAAAAACGTTCTCTTGCACTTCAATGCAATATTTATAATGTTAATACTATTTCTAAGATTTTGTGAACAAACTTGTATATCATATAGTATGTGTGTAGTTATCCAGGAATGATAAGATGTACAGATATGATAAATAAACAGCCATAAGTAGATATTTAGTATCCAGTGTGTATCATTAAGTAGCCAATAATGTCTTCTCCTGTATTATATTAAACAGTATATTAAGAATGCAGTATATATATATATGTGTGTATATCAGTGTTTACCAGTATATTGTTCTGTATTTATGCATTGTATACACTATATGATTTCAATAACACTTTTAATACTTATTTTTATGTTCATTTTTGTAAAGCTTTGTCAAGTTGTCAACAGGTCTAATAATGTCAGTGTTTCAAATGGTTATTGTATGATTTTACATATGCTCTATATAATTTCCCCTATTGGATAACAGTGAAAACATTTTCATTAAACAATAAACTAATTGAGCAGCTCAAACTTTTAACTTTATTAAAGTTTATAGCTTTTAGTAATAGCTTTTCATGGAAATGACTGTCAAAAAATTATTTTAAACTTACACTAGGCATGATTTAAATGCTGAATCAAGATAGTTTGTTTTTGATGCACAGATTATATATACAGTGTATGATGGGCTGGAATAGAAATGCAGTATTATAGTTTATTTTTGTTGTTTTCACAGTAAAACAAGTACCATAATTGTTTGTTAAAATGGGCAATGTACTTATGTCACATTTGAAAACTGTTACATTTTATCCTTTCATAATCTGTATTTAGGTATATTCAGAACGTTTTTCAATTCCTTTTATGTAGATGTGCTACAGTTAGTTAATGTCCTTGAGGACAGGATGTAGATAGTCATAAACTTACACTAATTCTCACCATGGTATCATTTTAGATATAGTAGTGGCCATTCTTCAGAGATTATGTTCTTGATATCACAAAACTTCATGTTTCATTCAATGCCACTTTATTGATATGGATGTCAAATATTCTGTTTTAGCAATCAACAACAATTCATATTAACACAAGATTCAGCAAAGCTTTCAATGTTATAAATGTCATAAACATTGCCTTTAGCAAAAGATATGGATCCAAAACTCTATGGTTATTCACTTTCATTATGTATATATATATATTAAATACACATTGCCAAGATGATTTACAGTGTCAGATAACATGACAATAGAAAACAGATTTCTCATATATAAACTAAAATGAATGTAAGCATTTGATGTCAGTGTAATACTTCTATAGAGCTTATACTTGCTTATTCTTTGTTTTGTGTTATCACTCTCTTGGGGTGTGAGTCATACAGAGGCTTGTGAAAGTTAGTGTGAGCTGTAAATTTGTCTCCTCATGGATGTATGTAAAGGGAATGATTACTAATGTAGGTGATATAGAATTGTGGGATACCACAGTAGGGCTTTGATCTTACTTAATGTGGTATACAAAATCTGCCTTTTTATGTAGTAAAGACAATCCATTTTGTATTTGTGGAGTACAGAACTTTGATTCTTCTGGTTCAATAGCTAGTTAGTTAACAACACAGAATCTATCCAGTATAAAGTAACCCCAGGCACATCTGTATATGCATACAGTAGAGACTGTTTTATACATCATGCAAATGAAGTTACTGTATTTTTTGCAATACATATCTGAATCTACTCAATTTTCACAGCTTAATATTTATGGGTTGGCTCCAGTTTTACATGGTAATACCCTAGATTAGGTTATTAAGCTAATGTTGGTTTTGTGATTAAGGATTTATTTTGAAAGTACTTCTTTAAAATATTTGACTCTGCTTTCATGATCATGGGAAGGTGTGTAAAAGGGAAAATCTGTGGTTCAAGTAGGGACAAAAAGTGAGAGCAAGGTTTAGAATAGGCCCTTTTTTGGACTAGAGACTTTCACCAGTCGTGGAAAGAGCTGTGTCTGCATTCTTGATCTGTCTTTAGAACTGAAAATGTGCCGAGCAGCTAGAGGGAACATCTAGATGTTACATCCCATATGTAGAAGCCTGGGGTGACAATGATGGGTCATGGGGATGGCAGTCAGTTTAGATGATCAGAGTCACTGTGGTAAGTTTCTGTGATTTTCATAATCTTTTGTTGATGAGCTCTGCATTACTAAGTGTTGGAAAGGATCACCAGTAGGTAAGGAGAGAGGAAGTGTGTTGGATACATATACTAGAATGAACCGACTACATAGGCTTGCGATGGTTTTATTGTTTTGAAATATTTACATGTTCTGCAGTAATTTTTATATACTGAATCCAAAAGTGATATCCATTTTTCTCCATCATGTACAGATTTTTCACAAAATGTCATATGTACTTTTACATAAGTGAATCATTTTCACCAAAATTGGGTCACATTTTGTTATGCTTAAAATGTTCACAACCACTGGCTATAGGTTTCTCTAGAACAATCGTAACATGAGAGTCTTATCAATCATTCTAGAACCCAAACATAATAATAAAAAATTTTCATTGTAGTAAATGAAATAATAATTTGATCAAAGTAAGATATTTTTTCTTCCTGATTTGTAAAAAATCCTTATGTGATAGAAAATATTTTCCATAATTGAGCTACACAGATTATTTTCGAAATCTGTGTTGCTCAATTATGAAAAATCTGTTATTAAAACCAAAACAACTTTTATGAAGTTTAAATTCACAGGCCTGTGCTATCAGGTGGATTAGGTAGGTCCCTGGAGTAGTCAAGAGCCTTCTGCTTCAGTAAGACACATTGCCAACACATTATGACTGTGTCTGAGCTTCATGTAAGACAGAGTTATGATGAATACCCCTACATATTGCAGTATCTTACTGCTAACATCACTAGAAGACACTATTCACTAGGGTGTATGTGTCTTTGTAATTGAAGAAGGTGAAAAGAGCTCTTATTGGGTGCTAACAGTGTATCAGTCGCACAGCAGTAATGGTGCTGGCAGCAAATATACATATGTCTGCCCAGCAGTTTTATAATTATATTAAACCTACTGAAATGGTTTTACTAAAGGGCAGTTTGTGCAATCTTTGACACTAAGCCTTGGTGGTTCATCACTCAACATCCTAGAGCACGAGTGAAGAACAACTCAATGATCGGAACATTGTCATTGCTGAGTGGTACATAGATTCAACCCATGGATAACTAAATCCATAGTTACAAATTCATAATTTGAAAGTGCTAGCCTCACAAAGACTTGGCTACTTACACAGATGACCTAAAGAGACTTATTGGAAGGGCCTTCCTGAGTATGCCACCTACTGATCTCAATGAGGTTCTTATTAGTGTCTGGCGAAAAGCTTTAGCAGATATTTTTTTGCAACAGCTCAACCAATAACTGATCCAGTTATCAATGCTATTTTCAAGTTTTGAACAACTTGACTTTCAAGATCTACATATCTACATGTGCCGATGTTTCCATTTATCAATGTTATATTTTAAGATCTGTGCAAGAACTCAGCTAACAGATGTTTCCATACATAAAAGCTATCTTCAGGTTTTTACAAGTAAATTCATAGAAGTAGTACTGAGTAAACATATATGGTATCAAATGGGTCTAAGGAGCATTTTTCTGCTGATTGAAACAGTTTTTATGGTGAGATGATGTAAATAGCTCACATCAAACTGAAAGTGAGCAAAAGAAATCATCAGGACTGGCTTCTGACTTGGCTGATTCATCCTACCCTTAAGGGCAGGAAAACTGTAGTATATCATCATATGAACACAGGCAATTCAAATTATTAAAACAACTGCCATTCAGAATCCTCTGGAGCACTAGTGACTTTGCCAACATATGAAATTAAAGAGATAGTGAGGGATAGAATAATACAACTTTCAGATAGTGTTTGAATGTAAGGAAGAATAAATCTTAGTTTGTATGTGGCTTTTAGGTCTGTGGAGTAGACCATGTTATACTAGATGAAAACTGAGAAAAACATTGATGACAGATTTTGGGTGTTGATGATTGCTGGAAACTCTAACATACCAGATGTCTGAAAAGATTTTGCAATTGTTGCTGTCTTCAAAATTCATTAGGTTTTGTGGTTAATATGTGCAGATATTTGCCTATTGGAACATCTTCAGAAATTTTGCATGTCAGCTGATGTGACCTTATATTGTGTCACAGTAAGAGATCTCACACAGTATGAAACGTTGGCATGAGTTGTATAAATATTTGAAATAATATGTAATGTTGTTAGATTTGGTCCAGCTTATTTTTCATGTTTATCTTGTGTAGTGGGTTATCCGGCCTGTAAAGAGCAATAATAGTATTGAAAGTATGGTGGCTTGGTTTAACTACTATGCTGTGAAGGCAAAGGTAATTCTTGCTGTCATCTCTAGGGGTATGTATTTGTAATTTTGTAGTTGACAACACTAGATGGTACTTACAGTAGGAATGGTCAATTCTCCTAATTTTTACTCATGATTACTTTTTTTTTATGGTAGCATTCCAGTTGGAGTTGTGCTGACTTAACTGGATGTTTATGAATATCATGAGTATTGCATTATGGTATTTCCCATGCAAAAAGGTTTTCTCACAGAGCAGTCAATTAGTGCAGTTAACTGGTGGTCTGAAGAATACCAAGCTATGGAGTATATTGGATTGGTTTGTATGGAAGTTTGCACAAAGCTACACGAGGGCCATCTGTGCTAGCCATACCTAATTTAGCAGTAAAAGACTAGAGGGAAGGCAGCTAGTCATCACCACCCACTGCCAATTCGGGAAAAACTTAGAAAAATCGAAAACTGTCTATAGTGCTGCTTGGGACCTGCAAGAAGGTATCTTTGTACCAAGTCCTATGTACGTTGGTTGTCATACACATGAATAGTTCACAAAAACCCCAAAATGTACTTTCCTCACTGAAAAATTGAGCAAAAAACAAATATTCCACAAATTTCTTATATCTGTGTTTGGGACCTTCAAAGAGTAATTTTGTACTAAAGTCCATATAAATTGGTTGAAACAAGGCTAAGTAATTGACCAAAACCACTAAAATCCATAATTTTAGTTAACCTTTTGACTTCTCCTAAAATGAGCATATCCCATATTTTTTATCATATGTATAGAACCTGTAAAAGCTTTGTACCCAATCCTGTATAAATGGACCTATATAAAAGTATCATTTTACTGAATCCCATGTAAATTGGTCAAAATACGGCAGAGTAATCGACCAAAAAATTCAAAAATTATGTTGTTTTTGTGAGCACTGACTCCCCTAAAAAGACTCAAAATGGGTGAATCCAACTTCTTCCTGTGTCAATGTGTTGGGCACATGAAAATTTATATTTGTGTCAGTTTTCATCTTGATTGCTGTAAATATGATTGCACACCTGAGCGCCTGCAGGAAGGGGCAAGAGGGGGATCACTTGACTCCCCTGAATTTTCAAAAAGAAAAAAAATTACAAGATATGTAAAATTATTCTTCTATGTTATTGGAAAATCATAAGGTATTTGTAGTTCGATTTTATAATTTTTTAAAACTTGAGTTACTTGACCCCTCCTAATGTTTTTTCTGTGAATGGCACTTGATTGCACGGAAGCCCAAAATATATATTTTTGGGTTGTTTTACTATTGACCCCATAAAAATCCTTTAAAAGGCCTAAATCAAAAAAAGTGAAAAAGTGTCTGAGCGTACTGGATCAAGGTATAACCCTATCAAAGTTCCAAGTCAATCCACCGAGAAATGAAAGAATGGCAGTGGATTGAAAAGTGTTTGGAAGAAGAAAAAGAAATTATACAAAAACAGTGTCTTTCTGAGTAGACATAAAAAAACAAAACAAGGGCAGGTGCTTAATGGTGCATGTGAAACTGATAATAGTAAAGTGAAGACTATATAAAAGTTTTCATTAGTTTAGTGTATTCCACTGAAAGTTAAACCAAGAACTTCTAACTTTAAAAATTACAGTGAAATGTTAATGTTAAGTAAAATTCAAATGTTAAAGATAAAAACATTAAACAAAGTTATGATTTAAGCAAACACTGTACTCAAAACTTAACCAAAGCACAGGCCCATAAGGAACTAAACTTATAAACAAAGCAAAGTAACCTAAAATCCCTAATATAGTAAATCCAAAATTGAAGTTAAACACTACTAAATGCTATAGTTATAAGTTTCACTATATTAAATAAAAGTAAAGTTCATGTTACAGTGGAAGTTATTAAACTTAGTTTGCAAAAGTTATTTTTTCAAAAATCCATAGAACACTTAAAAAACACTGTTACACACGAAATGCACTTCACATTAAAATCTGTATTCTCGAAAGCATGGCTGACACCTGATTTACTGAGAAGAGAAATACCATTTTATTTCCGGATGTCGTGTGCTATCTTCTCTGCAAGAAAATCAGTTAATTGCCTATTAGAGAATCCCTACTTGCATGCTCTCAAAACAAGAAAAATATTGCGTAAATGACTCTCGTCATACAAACTAAAAATTAAGAAATGATACTTTTGAAAAGAAATGTATATTAACTAAGGGGAGCAGGCACGTAATACTTTCTTATATGACACCATCAATACTAACAGTGTTTACTATAGCAGCAAAGTGTGATATCTCTAAGATTTATGGGAAAGAAGAGAAGTCCGAGCCCCTAAAAACGGGAGGTTTGCGAATCTTGTATGTGGGTGTATTTCCCGATGGGTATGGCAGATTGGCCAAAACAATGAAATGGGACTCAGATTTACACAAGGAATTGGTCTTTACTTGAAATCTTGACAGTTTACATAAAAATGACAATACGTTATTATACAATACTAAGCAAGTGATTGTATGTCTATGTATAAAGAAAAAGGTGTGTGGGACAAGCAAGGGTGATGAAGACTTTGTTAAATAATATGTTGTGCTAGCGTAACTAAGTTAGCATATAAAAGAGAAATAATCACAGTGTCCCTAAGTTAAAATGTAACACAACATAGTTAACTATTGCCTTAACCTTACTAAAAAACAGTAATACTGTATATTTTAAATAAAATCCTAAGCTCCTCTAGCCTGTAGAGCAACTTATACACTATTTGCTCACTGGCGAATTTAAACAAACAACTAAATTATAAGTGAAATCCAAGCAGTTGCCTCATAAACAAAAGTAAAAGTTAACTGAGGAGTTCTAGGAAAGTAAAAGTACACCAAAATATACAAACTTCTTGTTTGTTTGTTTTGAATTTCGCGCAAACTACACGAGGGCTATCTGCGCTAGCCGTCCCTAATTTAGCAGTGTAAGACTAGAGGGAAGGCAGCTAGTCATCACCATCCACCGCCAACTCTTGGGCTGCTCTTTTTACCAACGAATAGTGGGATTGATCGTCGCATATAACGCCCCCACGGCTGAAAGGGCGAGCATGTTTGGTGTGATGGGGATTCGAACCCGCGAGCAAAGCACCCTAACCACCTGGCCATGCCGGGCCACAAACTTCTTACTGACAATCGAAAGTGAGAACTTTAATAAAAGTACTCCCATAGAAGTTAAAGCTACAGAAACACTGCCCGAGTGCAAATGAATCTAATTGTTATTCTACTAAAGATTCTAACATTTATACAAGTAAAATCTGGTGAAGGTTGTAATAATTTGTGTAAAAGTCTGCTTGTTTCAGGTTCCAACCCTTAAATATGACAACAAATCCTCAAGGTTTTGACACACAAAAATAGTGGTTGATGTCTGTTAGATTAATGGACAGTGAAGATAATGGACGAGTCCACCCCAACTACTGCTTGATTTGCTAACAGGAATAACTTTGGGTGCTGATTAAAAGTCACAGTGTTATCCCTGCGAGAGAATCAGGCAAGAAGATACCAAACCCATTTGACCTAATAAGCCCTTGAAAAAGTTAAAGAATTTTATACAAAATGGATAACTACATAAAAAGAAGAATCGTCGAAAGTTGCTTAATCAGAAACCTGCCTAATTTCAACACTAAGGCCACTTTAAACTTAACAACTTCCTGAGTCCTTAAGGGAATTCCAAGATCAGGGGTCACGTAGGCGTTTGTTGACCATTTTTTTTTTCCTGCCAGAAGACAACGTGAGACTGAAGAGGGCGCACGAACTTGTCGTAACTAGTTTCTCTGATATCAGACTTCTGACAGTTTGTTCCGTTTACTGTGGTTTTTTCACTAATTGTTATACACGATCTTGTGTTATTTTATTATTATTATTACTATATTATCCACGAAGGAACAAATATATCTTAAACATCTTATCAAGCATCATCGTGACATTGGTGTACTCTACAGGAAGTTTGAAACACAGTTCCTGAAGGCAAAACGGGAAAAATTGCAAAGACAGTTTCTTATCATGTGTTTGAAGAACAAAGTTATTCCAAAAACTTTAGCACCAAAAATACTGAAGAAGAATCAATGACTTCCTTTTGGTAACCTTGAAGAATACATCTTAAAAGAAAGGACTGAGAAGATTAATCCCGAAATTAATGAGGCGTTTTATGCGTCACGTAAGGCGGCACGCATACTACCAGAATATACGACTCCAACACAAACGAGCAAGTTACACAAAATAGCCCACCCTGTAGTATGTTTATGACTTATCCCTTTCCTTTAAGAATGCGAACCCGAATATAGACTTAATATCAGACATTGTTAAGTCAGGCAAAGACAACAGTGAAGATATGAACCTCCTAACGAATAGCATAACTAGTGCATTATGTAATAATAATAAAAGTCACAAGTCATCCTTCCCCCCACTGTCTTTCTGAAGAAATAAGGAAATTGAAGTTGAACAACGATATTGTAATCACAAAGTCTGAAAAAACTAACAAAACCGCTTCTGAAAAAGAGTTAGAAGAACTTCTTATGGATGGGTATGTTTATGAAAAATTAAGCTCCGGTCCCTTACCTAAGATGGTGTCTGACTTTAACACACAACTATATACAATTCTTGGTTATTACCCAGATATTTTAAAAAAGTTAAAACATATTAATCCTTCCTTACCTTACCGTAAGGTTTGCCTAAAACATATAAAGAAGACTGTCCCCTTAGACCTATAATTTGTAACGTAGGTTCTATCACATACCCTTTATCTAAATGGTTAGCAGGACAACTATCCCCATTTGTTGGAAAAATCTCTTTGTGGCACATCCAAAACAGTTTAGATTTTGCGAACAAGATTAAAAACACTGAAAAATGTTAAGTTCTGACTTTGAAGCTTTATTTACCAACATAATCCTTAATCAACTTCACCGAACTATCAAGTTTAAAGTTGAATGGGAAGAGGAGGACCAACTTCCTTTTTTGGATGTTTTCATAACCAGAGAAAAACAGAACCAGTCCTCTTAGTATACCGTAAACCGACAAATTCTCTAAGTTATGTTCTGTTCACTTCTTTTCGTGTCACCATAAACAGGTCAAAACATCTATTATTTCTTCATTTTTTCTTAGAGCATATAGAATATGCCACCGGACAATCAACTACTGGTAATGTGAAATCACTTCATATTGGCTATAACACTAACATTGAACCCCTTGAGAAAATATTGAGGAAAAAAAAAACTTTAGAATCATATATACACCTGGAAAAAAGTTAAGCACCCCCAAATATTTTTCAGGATTGCTTATTGAAAATAAGGTTTAATTTTCATGATGTTGAGCAGTGTTCATAATTT